CCCCAAAACCCCAAAACCCCAAAACCCCAAAACCCCAATATTCCAAGTTCGGATAGAGTTATTATATAATTAAATAAAAATGTGAGGGAAAGATCAGCCTGGAGGGAGGCGTAAAGCAGAAGTTTCTTTTACTAAAGGAAGAAGATTTATTAAGGTTCTTTATATATTGGCGACCTTATGGTGCAGTCTCAGTTTTACATCTGCTAAGGTGTACTTGGAGTCGGATATTACTTGTACTAATAGGTCAGAATCAATGCAGGTTTATATACAGTCCAAGACCAGAGGGACGACAAAGATGATCAGAACTATTGATTCAACTCAGGATATTATTGTATGTGGGACTTTTGAGACGGAGAAAGGTATTGGCGCACGGATCCAAGAGATTGGTCAAATTAGCTGGGGGTACCTATTTCCAATTCCCTGCCAAGTTTTTGCCCTTGATTCCAAGCAAGAGAACATCATGTTTGGTCTGAAGTTTGTTAATCGAGGAATTGAGTTTCATAATATTAAGGCTTCTGATGGCTCAAAGAACTATATTTATGAATACCAGAATGAGAATATTCAGGATATTGACTATGCTGCTTTCAATAGTGATTACTATTGGTTTGTGTTTCATGAAAATACCACGACAGATATTAGCTATATTATTAAAATCTCCAAGACAAGGAGGTTTGTATATAAGGGATCAACCCAGTCAGCATTCAAGGGTATAACCTTTCCTTCTTCAAACCCAATTTTTGTTGGACACACTCTGGCGAATCAGCCATTCTTGATCCAGATGAATTCAACTTCCTTTAAGGGGTTGTGGAACTTGACACTAACAAACGTGGTATCAAACCAGATGATGGTCCGGAATAAGGCAGATGAGGACCTTAAGTGTATTTGGGCTATGAATAATATAACCAACAATGCTTTGATCATTATGGGTCTCAACAGCAACGACTCTTCAGTCATGTGGACTACCACTTATAAGAAGAAGTTTGAGTATCCTAACCTAGCCTGGGCTCCTGTCTTTGAAGAATATGTTCTTGTTGGAAGAGATCCAGATAATTCAAGACATTGATTCATGAGATTTAAGGAGAGTAATGGCCATATGACTTACTTGTTCTGCACTGCTGTATCGAGTGAGAGTACCTATAGTATTGAGACATCAAGCTTACATCTTGATACTAGAACCTCGATTTATATTGGAGGGCAAATCAAGAGTGAAAACTTCTTTTATTACAGGACTGGAGCTGAAATGGGAGATAGTTGATGAGTATTTGCTAATTCTACTCTTTCAAAATCTACAGAATTTAGTCAGAGCGATATCACAGCAACTCAGGGAAATCATTCTTTAGCATGGTCTCTCTTCTTAGATGGAAGATGGATTAATAGAACTAGTAGAGAGGTTGAATTAGATTCATCATTAAAATGAACATATGACTGTTATCCTCTATACAAGTTACCTCTGATCCGTGATAGACATTACACCCAAAGATTTATGGAGACTCTTCCTTCTATCTGCCCTGGGTATGATCAAAATAACATAACTAACACTACTGCGTTTACTTTTGAGGCACTGGAAGCAACGATGGCTACAAACAATACTAGTATTCGGTATTTAAACAAGAGTTATGCTTCCCATCAAGTGTCCTCATTTTGGATGGATCAGGGAACCTACGATTTCACTCTAACTATGTACAATCAATCCGATCCGGATGCGAAGATGAGCATTCATTTCCAAGCACAAATTGAGCTGACCTGGTTTATGCTCATTAGTATTATTGTGGTCTACATTGTTTACACTGCCATAGGAGTCCATGCTGTTATGATTAAGGATTATTACGCATTTAAAAACTTAGTATACACAGGACAGCTTATCCATCTTGTGGCTCTGATGGCTAGGAACCTACCACCCCCATTTGTGTACTTCTGCCAAAGGATGAGCATATTTGGGATGATTGAAGGAATATTCTCGAAGAAGTTTTTACTAGGATCCTTTAATTTTATGACAGAGGATAACTATTATCTAATGAATTATGAGACATCTTCCTTCTTTGCAAACCAAGCCTTATCTATTATACTCATTTTGCTAGCACTCGCTGTTTTTGTCATTCGAGAAGTCATCTCTCAATTTTGCCAGAAAAATGAGAAAGAAGACAAAAATGATATTGTTGATGTGTTTGATTCCGCTAACAGCAAGACTATTAATCTGAAGCATCTGTTGAAGATGGAAGGACCTGTCATTCATATATCAAAAAGGTTCATCTTTAATGTCTTCGCTATTTTGTACCCTTACCTCATCCTGCATGCTTTGATGGATATTATAAATATTGATAATAGAGGGATGATGAAGAAAATCTCCTTTTTAATGGGTCTTTTCTTCGGTCTAGCTGCATTCAAAATCTCCCTTGTTATGTGTGCATTCTCATATGTGAGGTATAAGGAGCAGTCAGCCAAGAAAGACATTCCTGAAGAAACTTACGATAACTTGTTCTCAAACTTCTCTACTACCAATATGGTTCGTTCTCATGTGATTTTCTGGCTCAAAAGGTTTACTTTAGTCTTACTAGTGGTAATTAGCCCTGCTTTCCCACCTTACTACTGCATAATTGCTGGTTTTATACACTCATTGGTGTTTGTAAGTTACGAGCTGGATTACCAAGCCACAACCAGTAAGCTAGAGACCCTGTATTTAATCTTGTTCAATGGGCCATACATTATTATAGCCTTTGTTTCAATGCTAATGGAAGGTACATATATCTCTTATAGTCACAAATACATAACTTCTCAGGTGATGATGTTCCTGTGTCTGCTGTGTTTCTTGCTAATGATTCCTTTAAGACTCTATGATATTCATAAGTACAAGCCAAAACAAATGAAGAAGAGAAAAGACATCTCAGTTGAAAGATTGCCGAGCTCGTTTAATCAGTCTTCTACTATTGGACTCAAGCAAAAGTCTCTCTCAGTGTCTGAATATTCAGAAGATGACTACAAGAATGATGAGAGTGTTGTCTCTCAAGAAAAATCCTCTATCAGGGAAGAATCTAACTATGAAGATTCTCCAAGTGCTGCCTCTAGACCAAGCTATAACTGGAAAAAGAGGCTAGGCAATGGAAACCAGGGAGATACTATTGAGTCTCACAAGTTTTCTTCAATGAAACAAACTGCAAAGTTTATTCCAGAAGAGTAAGAGATTAGATGAACAACAAAAATTGTATTTTTCTTGATTTCGTTTGAGAGTTTAGACATACTCTATAGCATGAAAAACACACCTGAGATGTTTCTCTAGTTTATTCTTTCGACAAAAACACTTTATGCGCTTTATGGAGTGAATTCGCTTTCTTAGCTGTATGAAAAAAATAATTCCCTGAAATTTCAGATAACTCTAATCCTTTTCTTTAGATCAGATAAATTCCCAGGAAAGAGTGTTAAAAGCCCACATGGAGTCCCCGAAGAGCCTGGATTCTCAATTGAAGAGGAAGAGAAGGAGGGTTCTGTGAGTCTTTCTAAGTCTAGTCCTTCAAAGTCCAAAAACTCGCCAATGAAAAAGACTTTCAAGTTGCCTCCTATTTAAGTTGTGTTGATAAAAACTCTAAAATCAGGTTATTCTCACTTCAATAGATATTTTAGCATAAGGGGTTTTGGGGTTTTGGGGTTTTGGGG